CAACACAAACTGCTAAAAATATTATTCATAATATTCATTAGGCCTGTTTAGCTTAGCATATTTAAATGGTGCAACATTCTTAGCCTTTGTAACACTTTATTATACTCCTTCCATTTAAAAATATAAGACATTTTTTGAAGAGTTTGATGTTAAAAATGCAAGATATTTTTAGTCTTTTCAGATATAATCATTGCTTTTCAAAAATATCTCTATTAATGAATGACTTTATATTTATTGTAAGGTATTTATTATGGGTAAATATAGAAAAATAAGATTAGTTTGAAAATAGATAACTACTTTATTGAGGTTGAGATTTAGTTAAAAATATCTTATATTTTCAAATGGAAGAAGTATAATAATTTTAAAAGTGTTGCCTCATGTAGTAGAGGAGTTAGGACCCAAAATCAGGTACGGAATAATTTAATAAAAAATTAATATTTTTTTAAATAAAATAATCATGCCAGGACTAAAATTACAATAACATAAATAATTTTTTCATTTTAAAAATTATATTGAGCGATTGATACAGTCTTTTACTATATATATATATGCTCTTCATAACTTATCTATATTATTAAAATATTATATATCTATTGAAATTTTAAAACCTAAATATTTTTCATATAATTTATAAAGTGTAAAATATGAAGTGTAAAATTATAAATTTTATATACCTTACTTATAATTTTTTTTAAAATGAGTAGGTGCAAACGTGGCTCCACCATTGGCCTCGTGTATGATTAAGTGACATCTTTTATGTGTAGATATAGAAATTTTTACTTGCTTAAAAATAGTGTTAATTTAATTTTTAAACAATACTTTATTTTATGAATATTAATATTATAACTTACTTTAAATATTGCACAATACATAATAAACATGCATATCATGAAAATTCCTTCCTATGATCTGCTAACCACATGGAGGTTCTTTTTTAAGCTTGAATATATCCTTTCTTTTCCAAATCAGTGTGAAGAATAAACAACAACAACAATAATAAATCAGCTTTTAGGCGTGTCTGTGGGATTGCTGATAAAAAAAGGGTGTGTCTGTGGGATTTGACAGAAGGTGGGAAGGAACAACAAAAGGCAGGAAAAGGGAGGGGGTGATATAATTAACGAAACTATTAAATTCACTGTTTTCAACTTTTTCAGATTTTTGTTCGTTTTCCCTTTTATAGTACATCCACGTATCCAGAATAAGTCTGCTCTAGGTTGCTCAGTCTTTGAATTCCTTTATTGCGATATATTTTGAAGTGGGGGTGTTAATGGGATGGGATTCGTACCTGGGTATCCCCGATCTATGTCCAGTCCCACAAAATAATCCAGGCTGATTTTTGTCTCATGTTTCATGTCGAAAATTGTCTCATCTTATTAAGAAATATGATAGAATCAAATCGTTCCAATGGAGTGCACATGGAAGAGAGACTTAAATAACAATATTCATTAAAAATATTAAGTTACATGACTCAATAAAATTAAAATTAAAATAATATGAGTACATAAATAAAAATAATGTCTAAAATAAGATTAGGATTTAGACATGTAGTTTGAGTTGAGACTCAAAAGTTTAGAGGAATGAGAGGTTGAGAACGGCGTTTGCAATCGTGAATGAGATTTGACGGATGAGATAGCGGCGTTTATGTATTAAAAAACAGTCAATAAAAAATATATAAGTACAAAATAAGAACAAGTAAACCATAACGTAGTAATTGATATGTATATTTATAATAAAAGCATATATATATATATATATAATATACGGGATGAGAGGAAATGTTTCAAAGGCAATCCCGAGTTTTGTTCTATTTTTTTTTTAACCAAGATGGAGTTAGGGTCAATCGAGATGGATACAAGGTTAAATATCCCTATTTTTAATGCTAAAGTGATGTTGCTTTTAATTATTTTTTGCAGTTTAGATATCATATATTCTATAATAACATTCAAGATATTGAAAACTGAATCAGTTATTAAATTGGTCAAAATGCTCATGGGTTAATGGTCTAGATGAAGTTGAATCCGTAGTTAAACTAGCAACAAATTGATCATTATTAAAATAATAAATTTTAAATAAAAATATTAATTATCAAAACATTTGTCCATATTCGAGATAAATGTCTCCTACAAGATACAAAATACAACAATAATGAAACATAACATTTCAAATATTCCATCTTAACAAGTTGCCTACCTGAATTTTAATAGTGGATAATATCATACATAATATTTTAACATTTTATCATATAAAATTTCTCATCTTATATCATATTTTATAAAAAAAGTTCATATTTTTTGAGTTTATCTAAGGGAAACAAGTATAGTGTTTTAAGTAGAGAGAGGAAGTGTTTGATGAACATTAATAAAGGATATGTTGTGTGTGGCTTTAGATGTGTTATTGTCATTTCTTTTCTTGGTTTGTGTAGCTTAATTAGGATTGTTGGTTGCCTTTTCTATCATATAAAAATAGTTCAACTTTTAATGGGTTCTTTATCATAAAAAAGAAGTAGAAACATTTGTCTTCAATTTCAGTCAACATAGTCCTACATGATCTAAATACTTCTACTTGTTCACATGAGCTCAGATGGAAAAAGCAATGAAGAAGTGAAAAGAAATGTGAAGAAGAGAAAGAGAACACAGCTAGCAACACAAGTAGAGACTAGTAGACGAGCAACAGCGAGAGATAGAGATGGCGAGGTTTCACTCGTAACAGCAACATCGATAGCAACTTTTTGATGAAGATAGTGAGAGAGACGACAACATCAAGAGACAAAGATGGCGAGGTTTCACTCATAGCAGCAACATCAACAACAACTTTTCAAACAAAGATGGCAATAGCTAGGGCGAACGTAAGGAGATGATCTATTCAGGGCAAGGATCAATTCATTTTCCTTTTCGCTTTTAGGTTCAAACATTCATTACATTTTTTTTTCAGTTTTTAAATCCCAAATTGACAATATTTTATAGCTTTGACAAACAAAAAATATAACTTGTTTGATCCATCCAATTTGTTGAGTTACACTCGGGTTAATCGGGTTAACATTTTTATGATTTACCTTATAAAACAAATCAGTCAACTAGGGTTTGACCAAGTATTTCATTCCATGGTAACATTCTTCATATTTTTTGTTTGGGTGTGGACGAATTTAATTTGTGACGAGATTATTAGAAACTTGGAGTGACTAATAGCTTTTTCATTCACAATATCAATGATATTATATTGCCAAAGCTGGTAAGCTTTACCAAACATTTTAATAGATGGTTTGTAATATTAGACTTTTTTTTTGGCCGAAAGTAATATTTGACTTCAAACACATAAATGTTGTCATTTCCAAATGTGTTATTCCTTTCATTAAAAAAATATAAAATATTTTTAATTAAATTTTACTCAAAATAAAATAATCACATACTTTCAAATTAACTATATCTTTTCATATTTACTGTTATTAAATACTTTATAATAAATATAAAGTCATTATTAATAGAAGTATTTTTTTAAAAGATAATTTTATTTTGAAAGATTAAAAATAAATGCTTTATATTTTTAAACATTCAACTCTTCAAAAAATGCTTCATATTTTTAAATGGAAGGAGTATCATTTTAGCTACAAGGATTTACCTACAAATATCACTTTGTTATCATTTTCCCCAAAACATCTCATGCAATAATTTATGTGCGTTATTATGAATGTTGCACATAATATATCAGTATTTTAGGGGCATATTATTAATAAATTAACACCTTATTCTCAAAAACACTTTCTTATGAAATTTGATATAGGACTTATTTGTTTAAGATTAAGAAGAAAGTAATTTTTTTCATAGTTTAAAAATTTTACAAAAAAAAATATTTATTTTATAGAGATTTTATTAAAATAGACATTATTTATATTCGATTGAAATAATAAAAAATCAATTATTAATTAATTATTTTTAAATTATATGATATGTTTCTTGATTTCTATTTTATAAAAATAATTTATTATTTTATCATTTTAAAGTTTTATGATATATTCATGTATTCTAACTTTTTAAAATACTTTTTCTCATTTACTATGTCATATTATTTTTTAAAGTCACTTCTTAAAATAATTAAAAATATTTTTTTTAAATTATGATTATTATTTTTGCATTATATTATTAAGCGATGTCGTGTATGATTTTAGTAACGAAATTAATAAGTTCTATAGAAGTTATTATTATTTTTAAAATAAAAACATCTGGCGGCAGCACGTTGGTTTATCATATTTGTGATAAGTTTTATTATAAAGAAAGTGCTTAAACGTATCATATAAAGCATGAGGAATAATTAAATTGTACTCTCTCCATTTAAAAATATAAAATATTTTTTAAAAAGTTAAATATTTAAAAATATAAGATATTTTAATTCTGTCGAAGTGTAATTATTTTTTTTAAAATGTCCCTTTTGATGTGACTTTATATTTAATATAGGGTGTTTAATAGGAATGAATATAAAAAGATAGGGTTAGTTTAAAAGTAATTAATTATTTTATTGGAGGATAAAATTCAGTTAAAAATATTTTACATTTTTTAACGAAGGGAGTATTATTTATGACATATAAATAGTAAATTCTATTGTATTTTTTTTATCTTATATTGATTGATGATGTTATATAATTCTGAAATGCATTTTGGAAAATTTTAAGAGTGTCATTTGAAAAATATCATTGCCTATAAATAAATATTTTGATATTTTAATATATAACTAAATCATGGAGTCTCTGTTTGACATATGATTATGATATACATTGATTTTTTGAGTGATATATATTTATTTTAGCCATTCAATCTTCACGGATAATAGTAATAGTATTACTATACAAAACTTAAAAATTATTTCAATGAATATTAAAATTGGGTCCTCGTATATAATTTTCCCAAATGAATGGGAGAAACGTGGAGCATCAGCATGAAGAGGGGCAGAAAGGTAAAGCCGCAAAAGGAAGAGCAGATATATCTGAAGAAAATCTGCTGTGGAAACAGCCCACTGGAATTCCAGGCACAGCCCCTGGTTTTCAGGCTGCTTGAACCATTTCTATTTATCTTTAACCCAAGCCTACTCTTCCTTCTATTCCTCTTTCCTCTCCTTCATCTTCTCGTTTCCCGATTTTAGTATTTCTCTACCCTATCCTCCATTACTACACACCCTTTCTAGAATTCGTAACCCATATTTCCCCTGTTTCCTCTGTTCTTCGTATTTTTTTTTCCCCGGGGCATTTTGGTTTTCGGGGTGCTGTTCCCTGCGTTTCCCGATTTTTTTGGACAATACCCATTTGCGGAAAACGCATTCTGTCGGGGCCGTTGGAGGCATTTCGTGATTGAGCTCTGTTTTTGGTACCATACCGTGATCGTAGGGTTTCTCTTTTATTAATAATTGGTTGACTTTCTGCTGAATTAAACTAAATGGGGATCGAGAGGGCTTTGGCTGACAGAAAGGGTAGAGACTTCTGTGGATTACCCAAGGAGACGAACGCCAACAGCAAATCAAGGAAGAACCGGCGGCGTCAGATGAAGATGTCGCCGGTTCAGCCTCAGATGAAGATGTCGCCGGTTCAGCGACTATTTGAGACGTGCCGGGAAGTATTTGCCTCTGGTGGAACTGGGATCATTCCACCCCCTAAAGACATTGAAAAGCTTCGAGCTGTTATAGGTTTGTGGTCTGATCAATCATACTTGCCTACTTGTTTGCAGACACTTTCTACTTTCTGTTACTATCCGGCAATTTTTCCACTGCGTTTGCTTCTGATGTGAAATATTAGTTGAAAGAGAACCTTTTCCTGCCATTTTGTTTATGTTGCTGCGGAGAAGTTAGTTGTGTGACAGATTGAATCTTTCATTTGTTCTCGGAGTTATTAACTAGTTGGTTTGTTCATGGAACATTGGAACTTAGCATTCCGGGAAGGTTTTACTAAAAAGCTGATTCATTTTCAGGTGGAAAAAAAAAAGGCTGATTCATTGTATCTCATTTTGACTCCATAATAATTATTATTATTAATACAAATACTCCATCCGTCCTTATAAATTTATTTTGTCCTAAATATAAGTGAGTGTCTGTATTTTTTTTAATAATTAGGTACTTTTATTTTTATTTTTTTTAAAAATATATTAATTATGACATTATTAATGATAAAATTTGAAAATTATAATTTTATATAATTTTAATTAAATAATAAAATTTTATTGGTGGTAAGTTAACACTGATTCAATTTCCTTCTTGTACTGTTTCTCACATTCATTAAATTATTTTGGGTAAACACATAAGTAGTACGGGAGTATGTGGTTACACTGATTCAATTGCCCTTTTGTACTGTTTCTTACATTCATTAAATTATTTTGGATAGTGGCGCTGGTGGGCTGCGCGCTTCTATGTATCCTGATTATGTTTCCGACCCTCCTGTGGGGATATGGTTGTTTGCGGTACATGCATGCATCTAGTAATTTATATTTATTGTACGTAATTTATATTTATTGTACGGTATTTAGCTCAAATCAAATGACAAAACAGGCACGGAGAGAGTAATGCTTGTTTACATGTGCTTCTTCTTGTGTTTCCCGAACGCATAAAAGAGATTTTTTAGAGGTCTACTTTTTAAAATTATTTTCTTTTAGATAAAAGAAAACTGTTCCCAAAATGCCCTCAGTTTGTGTTTGGTTTTTAATTGAGATTTGATAAAAGCATATGGGAGAGATTCAATTATTTGTTAAATTTAACAAAAGTTTATTTAAAATGTGGTTGGAATGTACTTTTGAGGATCAACAAACAGGCCACTAGTATTACATTACTAGCTTCATTTTATTATGTAATGTAATGTCGAGTACATTACTGGCTTCAGTTTTGTATGTAATGTCAAGTCCGTCTTCCGATATGACGGAGAGACCAGGCAGAGAATTGAGGCCAAAAAAATAAAAACCAATTGTGCCACATTTAGTCAAATATCATCCTGATTCCTGAAGCGATTAAGCAACTTACCTACGCTTCGCTCTGTGTTTTTGTTTCTCTAATCTAGGCGTTGGAAAGACTATAGGATTACCCCAGACCACCCCCCACCCCCCCAAAAAAAGGCCCATAGAAATAATTTGGATATATAGCATGGCCCAAATTGGGGATCGTTTGGTTATGTGAGCCAAAAATGATTTCAATTTAGGTAAGTTGATGAAGTTCTTGTGCTGCAAATCCCATAAGCCAGAGATAAAAAGGTTACTTATCAACAATGCTGAGGATTCTGCTACTAGCTGTCATTTTCACATTTTATTTTTCTGTTTTTCATATGCTGTGCAAACTGCAAAGCAACCAAATGTGGCCTTTTCTGTGCAGACGCTATAAAACTGGAAGATGTTGGCTTGAGAGCTGAAATGCGATACTTCCGGAAGCGCGCTACTCATAGAACCCCGAGAATCACATACGTGCATATCTTTGAGTGTGAAAAATTCTCGGTACTCTTTCTAACATGAACTGCTTTAGAGATGGATTACAGTACGCCAAGAAGCCTGCTATATTGTTGATCGTAACTTGATCTGTGCATCTCTATATGTGTTTATTGCAGATAGGAATATTTTGCTTGCCACCTTCTGGTGTTATTCCTCTTCATAATCATCCTGGAATGACAGTCTTCAGTAAACTTCTTTTCGGGACCATGCATATCAAGTCATATGATTGGGTGGCCGACTTGCATCCAGACACCCCTACTGTTTTGATACCGCCCGAAAGTGAGTATTTTCTCCTTTTCTTTTTAATTTAGTACTATTTTAGTACTACGTACTTCTCCTTTTCATTGGATGGAAAGAAGGTATTTCTTGACCTTCCGGGTTAAAACTATGTTGAAGCTGATTCACAATATATGTTTATAGATGAGTAGATATAGACATATCTCCGTGAGAAAACTGATGAACCCGGCAGTGATTATCCAGTAATAGCTAGTCTCTTTCAGTTCCAAATTTGTTTCTCGTACGTTCCCCTTCTCTTGTAAGAGCACGAAACAAAAGAAAATAATTTTGCATATTCCATTGACGCAGTCAAGAGTTCAGAGGTGCGGTTGGCTAAAGTGAAGGTTGATGCTGACTTCACTGCTCCTTGCAACCCCTCCATACTTTATCCCGCTGATGGAGGCAACATGCATTGCTTCACGGCAGTCACAGCTTGTGCTGTTCTTGATGTTCTTGGTCCTCCTTATTCTGATCCTGATGGTCGACACTGCACCTACTACCTCAATTACCCCTTTTCCCACTTCTCAGGTATTGTTAGTGACTGAGTAATTATTTATTATGTTTTGTTCTTTTCTCATTATGCATGCATGCTATAAATGGAACCTTTCTGGAACTTCAGTGGATGGAATTGTCGTGCCAGAAGAAGAAAGGAAAGGCTATGAATGGCTTCGAGAGCGAGAGCGCCTTGATGATATAGTTGTAGATGGGGCAAAGTACAGAGGCCCGAAAATTGCGGAGGAATAGCTTGATGTTGTCGCTGAGCTCATCTTTGCCATCTTATTCCTGTCGTGTCAGACATTCCTGCAGACAAATTTTCTAGCAAAGCTATTGTTCGGATGCTGCCAATCTGTCCAGCACTGAAGCTTGTCGTCTTCATCTTTGTTCTCCCGTACTCTCTGTGTTCTCCTTTTCATTATTGAGCAGGTCGGGTTAAAATGTACATATCGAACCAGGAAGAGACAGACAGATTCTGCATAGGTAGTTGAAATTGGAATGGGGGTTCAATGAGTTATCCAATAGCGCATCGTTTTGATCGTTGAGTTGTCCTGGTCATTTCATATTAACTATCTGATCATCCAAAGCTAAAAGCAACTGATGTATTAAATATTTGATTGAGCAAGGTGGTATATATTTAGGGAACATAATGTCTCTATGCACTTTGAAATTTGCATGTGATTTGTGAAAAAGAAAAAAGCTTTTATATATGAATATGTTTGAGAGCTCAAAATCTATAAAATGCAAAGTTAATATTTAGGATATGCTTGGAAAAACATTCGTGAAAGTAAAAGTTATAGTTTTGACAGAAACTATCTTTTGAATCTTTGATAGCTCCTAAGCATATCATTGCGCTTGTGTATATGGATAGAAGTTGGATGTAAATATTTGTTTGCGTATTATTCTATGAATTATAATTAAGCTGTAAACTCTCAGTTTCCCAGCACCAACTTGGTATCACTCTCCCCCACTTCCAAACTAGTTAAGGTGGTTCTCCAGCGGGAACTATCAAAGACGCGTTAATCCATTCCAGCTTAGGACTTTGAATTTGGATCGTTAATCATGCGCTGCATAAAGGGGAAGAATGACACGTTCATTCGGCCACGTTCATATGCAACAAAAACGTTCTTGATACATCATGCGTCATTGGCAAGGGATTCTATGAACGTGGACGAATGGTTTCTGGTGAGTTTTGGCAGCTTATTGCGGAAAGGCTGTAAAAAACAATTGCCATCTGTTATGATAAAAAAGCCGCCTTTTTTTTTTCATTACTGTTCCAAAAAATGTCAGAGTATGGCTTTTTTATGAGGAGTGGGCTGCCTCCACATTAAATGTTCCTTTCTTAATAACAGATTCTTATATTAACTTTTTCCGTTTGCCCCTGGCTTTAACTCAACTGGCTTGCACTAATCATGATAGACTGCATATTTTATTAGGGTAATTGCAACTTGATTTCTTTGTCAAATACATCCAATTATAAGTGAAGACTTGAAGCTGATATTAGAAATGGGAAGCGACCGCCCGCTGAAATGGATAGAAAAAAGTAATAAGGACAACCTAACCGCTGAACTTATAGCAATGACATGGAGTCTAGGAATTGCTGTGGCTGAAAATCATCCAAGACATTTTAAACATGAAATGAATGGTCCAATGAAGCTCTGTTCTGGAAAATGATCAGACATACAACCCAACGTAACATGATAGTTGAAATAAGTAAATCATTCCTACATACACAAATAGATACATACATATATAAGTAGATGGTTCCTACAGGTGAGGATTGACTTTTGTTTATTGCAAATCTGCAGAGATTCTTATATGCCAATGAAAGAAGATCAACGTAAAAAAAAAAAGAAAAAAGAAAAGTCCAACACTTTTTGGTCCAGAGTTAGACAGGGGAAGCCTTGTTTGAAACATATGAAGCTTCTTATGACTTTTGTGGCCCTTCCCCCCCCCCCCCCCCACCGTAAACACATGAATTGTTCGGAGGGGACGGGGGAGCCTTCCAACTTCAAATTCGTTATTATAACAGTTTTGTGCGAACGGAAAGTCAGAATGTCCAGGTTATTGGAATCAACGTAAAAAAGTTAATCAATCACGTAATTTATTTACAAAATTCTCACCATATACTCCTTTAATCTTATTTATAAAGTAAAAATAAAATTTTTTTGAATTTTATTTATAAGTTATTTCATTAAATTTTTATTATAAATTTTTTCATTTGCTTTCTACTGAATGTTGAAAAGAAAAATATATTATTATATACATACATACATACATACATATATATATATATATTAATGGAAATAAAGTTAAAAAATTATTAAATTTTTAGATAGAGTTAATAAATTTTAAAGTTTTCTTTAATTTTTACTAAACATATTAAAAATAACTTATAAATAAGATTAAAGGAGCATACTTTCTATCTTGTTTCCAAGAGTGCATATTGAATTCCTTAGAGAATAACTAATAGGGAGAGATGTCAGGGTAACATGAAAGTGCACCACTAGGCATGCAAGCACGGTGCTATATATTGAAAAAGGAGCTAAGATATAAATAAACAGTGACAATGTAAGGCAAATTAAGTTATAGTGAAACCTTTTCTTTTATTTCTTATAATTTCACCCAAATTGTAACCAAGTCGTTATAATTCATATCTTTTCAATCAAGCTCTTTTAGATTCTACCATTTAAGGCATCAGTCCTCGGCAATTAACATTGTTTAATTTTTTATGATGTGTTCAATGGGCATCGTATGCAGCAGACATGTAGATTACAAGTAAGTGGCTAAAGTTATTTTTTTAAAACAAAAAATAATTTCAAGTAAACAAAACTGCACTGGATGTAGCATTCCCTCAATCGAATGGGAGCTGGGTTCATAGAGCTTGGGATCGTGCAACAGAGAAGGCGATATGTTAGCGAATTGGTTACCATTGTTGCGTTATGCTTGCTCTGTGAATTGCACATGCACGTCAGAAAACCCATATCCCAATAAATTCAATTCTTCAAATACAATGTCTTGAACAGATTACTTTTAATGGAAGGATATTTAATCATCAAGAATATTTAGAACTTATGTTTTTCCTCTCCTGTGTGAGAGTTTTTCCTCCCCTATGTGAGAGTCCAGTGAAGTTGTTCTGTAACCTGTCCGACCATCATTATTTGAATGGTGGTTGTTTGATCCTATTTCTTGTGAGTGGTGAGTTCTAGTTGTGTGTTAATCCTTTCATTGGGGACGAGCGATTGTGAGGGGGTTTGGTGTTTGTGTGGGTGCGTGTGTCGTTTTCTGGTGTGGAGGTATGGAGTTGGGGCAAGGTAGTAGTAGGGAAAAAAAAAATCCTCAAGGAAGTGAAGCTGAATTTTGAAAAGAAAGAAAGAAAAGGTGGCATATTAGTCGGGAAGTTGTATGCAGACAAGAGTTTTAATAAGTCTGTGGTGATCTCTATGATCAAGAAAGGGTGAAACTTGGGGAAAAAAAAAAAAAAAGGATTGGGGGTGCATGATATGGAAGAGATATGGAAGAGAAGAATGCGTTCTTATTTGAGTTTGATCGGGAAGATGATTTTCTTCGTATCCTGCGAGGCAGGCCTTGGTCTATTCAGGATCAATTATTGAGCTTACAGATGCAGGAGTATTTATGGTGAATGAGGAGATTTAGTTTAATACATCTCCTTTTTGGGTGCAGTTCCATGGTTTTGCCGTTAGAAGCTTTTGGTGAGGAAAATATAATTACGCTTGGTAGTGAAGTGGGCGAGGTCTGGATGCTTGAACATCTGAAGGTGGCTCATAAGATCACAAGGAGTTCTGTTCGTGTAAGAGTTCTGGTGAACCTAAATGATCCTTTGAAGACTGGCTTTTGGGTTTCGAGACCACGAAAGGAACTAGTGTGGGTGACTATGAAGTATGAGAGGTTATAAAACTTCCGTTACCCATGCAGACGTATCAAACATGATATGCGTAATTGTAAAGAGGGTAGCACCGGCAATACTAATAAGGATGAATCGGAGGAATTCAAGAATTGGTTAAGTGTTAACTCAGTCAAAACTCTTGAAGATAACTTGGTGGTGCACCAACATGAGTCATGTTGCATGACATGTCTTTGCTGAAGCCAGAACATTCGGGAAGTGTCCTCCGGCGACCGGTAAGAAGCTGATCGGTGGAGGAAATCATGGATTTTCACATAATTGAAATACCACTAATCATGTTAGCGAAAATTAAGGGGTGGCCATGAATGTGAATAAGGAGATGGTTATGAAGAGAGATGGGGGTGTTAATGTGGGGAGATATAATCAGGGTGGAAAGAAATGACAGGCATATACTTCGGCGGATGAAAAAGCGAAGGAGTCAAATACGGATAATAATACCTCTGATTCTACATGTGTGGAGCTGGATCAGGCTTCTGACTTGGAAACTTGTCCCAGGCCCAATGTAGCAGCTACGAGTTCTGACATGGACCAAGTTGGAATGGAAGACTTGGGCCCTAAGTGCAACCAGTCTTATATAGTGGAATTCCCTCAGGAGGAAAATCTTCAAAAGGCAATAATTCCTTCCAATGGGCCGTCCCCTTGTCTTCAGTCACAGTGGGCTTGAATGGAGTACCGTTGAACAGGCCCACAAATGAACTTTCAAGTCCCATTGCAGGCAAAAGGAGACGCAAATTAATTTTCTCTGAAGAAACTTCGGCTGCTGTCACTGCTCAGAGTTCGTTGACGAAACAGAAAAAGGAGAATCTACTTTGCGATTTAGGATATGGAACTTCTATCAAAATATGGGGGGATAATTGGGCTCCTAATGTGAGCTTTCCTGCCAAGCTTGAGGAGAATGATTTGTTTCTTGTGAAGCATGAAAGGGTTTGTGATAATGGTTCTTGGAATCTTTCACTTGTTTGCGACTTACTCCCCTAGAGTATTCAGGAGGCAATCCTTAATGTTCCCATTCCTAATAATGGGATTGCAGACAATCTTGTATGGACAGGTGCTAATAATGAAATGTACCAAGTGAAACTAGGGTACAAGGTAGAAAAGACTTACCTGAACAAGCATCTAATTAGAGATGGCCTATCTTGGAGTCTTTCCCCCTAAACCTGGAAGCATTTATGGCAAATCAAATGCGCCCCTCATGTTCAACACTTTATCTGGTGTGTTTTGACTAAATCAGTGGCAACCAATGATGCCCTCTTTGCCTGAAGAAGGTCCAAGATAAGGTATGTCCTGTGTGTAGCTCTACAACTGAAACCGTTGAGCATCTATTCTTTTGTTTATAGTTGGGTTAGACCTATTTGGTTTGGTAGTTTCTTGGGTATTAGACTCTATTATTGCAATGTTAATAGTTTTGAGAGTGGGGATCTGCTATTGATGTTAAGAATGGGCTGTCTGATTTTGAAATTGCTCATGTTTGCTGGATTTTGTGGCATATATGGTAGAAGAGGAGTCGACAAGTTTTCAATTTTTTGACCCAAACCTTGGAGATGCCTTGGAATTAGCCAAATTATCGCATTAAGGATACTGGGCTATTTGTAGCGATATGAATCTTGGTTTGGAAGCATTACCTATTGAGTCTCCCGTAATTTGGATAACCCCTCCTCCAGGTATCCTGAAAATAAATATTGATGCGGCCTTTTCTGGAAAATCTGAACGTGCTGATCTAGGAATATTTTGTGTAGAGATTATCAAGGCGCTTTCGAATGGGAATTTATTGATAAAATAAAATCTCTCTCAGCCTTTATGACAAAAACTCTAGCATTGAACGGGCATTGATGCTTGCTTTGGATCTTGGTCATGATAAAGTCATCTTTGAGACTGACTGTAAGCTCCTGTCTAACTTGCATTTCCTTTAATCAACCTGATCTCTTTGATTGGAAATGTAGAAGTATTATTTTCGATTGTGTAGCAGCTGTTGCATTGGGTTCTCTCTTTGTTTTACTCCTTGTCAGCTGTTGCTTTTAAGGAAGTGTGCTCGATTGCGTGGGTTCAGGAACCAGAACCAACACTCTTTGTTCGCCTTTCTGACCTTTGATGTGGAAGCCATTCATAATCGTTCTACTTGTATTTCTACTTCCAGGGCTGGTTTTAGTGTTGGTTAACTTTCATCTCTTTTGTCAGTTTTTGGTTTGTGATTTGTATGATGCCACTGTTTGGTGATGAGATGGATTACGTTTTGATAAAAAATAGAAGGATATTTAAAAAATTATTTTTATGTTTTTCCAAAAAAATATAATGAGCAGCACCGAGTAATTGACATGTTTTCCCAATGATGCAACCTTCAGTGTCTTCACCGGATATATATTAGGTTACTCATTTCAATGATTAAAATTTCTTTCTCAGAACACCACTTTGACTAGACTACAAATCCGCTTTCTTCTCCTTTGGGCACACAAGTGTAGACTATTCCTCATAGACAAATCCGTAGTCTAGTTTCCAACCTCGTCCCGCTAGTTGCTTCGTGTCTGTGGCAATCTCACATCACATTTCGCTTTTGAAACGGATTTGGGAGATTTTTTAAAAATCAAAAGCCTTTTGGCTTGAAAAAAACCCTCCCAAGCTCATTTCAGACAGCATATTCAATAAATCCTAAAATAAAATATTAAAAAATAATTTTTATAATTTTATCATGTTTTACTTTTAATTTTTATAATTTTCTTGTAATATTTTCAATCTTTATAGAAAGTAAAAACATTACAAAATGAAAATTATAAGACCTGAAAAATAAAGATCACAATTTTTTTTAAATTATAAAGATTAAAAAATATTTTAAAAAAAACTATAAAGAGTAAAAATAAAATTTGATAAAACTGTAATTACCCATTATTGTATTTTCCCTAAAATATTTAAAAGTCTATCACTTGAAAGTGACTTTCATCCACTTCTTGAATTTCTGACACCACATTCATTCGTGTATCTCCATCCTCAATTTCAAGTGCAGTGTCATAGATGAAAAAACTGAACAATTGGTCATGTTTTATTTTTATTTTTAATCCATATGCAATTATTTATATAATGAGGCAAAAAAATGTTGTTTACATAATTTTTTCAACATATAAATATGTTATTTTTTTTTTTTATTATTCAATATATAAAATTTATTATATTTAATATTTTTAACACACACATATATGCAAAACATGTCAAATATATATATATATATTATATTATATGTATAACAAAACTTGTATATGATAAAATCAATGCTTTTTGAACTATTATAATTTAAAAGTACTTTTTATCCTTTATCAACCGAACAAAATTTAGTTTGCCAAATTAATTTTTCAAATAAAATATCCAGACACAGACACTGTTATAATGACTGCCTTTAGCCAAATTAATTATTGTTACAAAGATTCTTACAAGCAAATTTTCAACAAACGAAAAAACAAACTAGTACTAAATATTAATAGTAGTCACAGGATGACACGAAAAATGGTAAAACTCACTTTCAAGTTTTTTTTTTGCCCCTTTTATGAGACGCATTTTGATAAATACGTGGTTCCAAATATGAGGAAAAATTACGAAACACCCACAAAGCATTGAGACTCTCGGTTTGGAGCATACATTTTGAGATTTTCCAATTAATTAATCCGTTTTTCTTAAAACACTGCACTGGCGTTTACGAATTATTGCTGTCCCAATAATAATTGCTTCAATTGTCAAACAAACATCACATGCTCTTGGCCACCCAACCCCACCTCTTTCTTTTTGCCAAAAGTTATGACCATTTTTTATTTAATTACTTGGCGAAAATGTTTAGATTCTTCTTGTCTGTGGCATTAAATTAATAACGTATTCATTCGAAGAAGTAAACTTCCAAAATTAAAAGAATAGGCAGTAACGAAACCCATGGGAAAGAGTACTACTTAGTAAACGCAGATCCTCTCAGTGCAGCACTAAACAGTTTAGTAACAACGACGTTTATGTTGAATGACATACAGTTTAGTGAAGTTAATTACCTCTTGAAGTTTATAACCCCAACCCCCTCCCCCCCCCCCCCAAAAAAAGGAATGTTAAAAATGAAATGAACTTAATTCTTACGGAGTTGGGGGACTTGGATTGTAAATACTAAATACTAAATCAGCCTCAAAACATATTTCGGTCGATTTTTATTAATTTGAAAAATCTAAAGCGATGGACCCAGGACTACTAAAAGCAGACCCTCTATCGTTGACTTGGATTATAAAATTTAGCCTAACATTGTTTAAAAAAAAAATCAATCAATAATTCGATATCAATATATCTATATATATAAATTATAATATTCATGAGTTCAATACAACTCCAGCTTCTATAATTTCTCAAAACTGAACATATTAAAGTGAAATAATTTATCAACTCAATGATTTTGGGTTTAGGGTCACGCTGGTGCATAGATATTTAAAAGGGTTTAACAGTATTTGAATCCAAAATGGATTTTTAAAACATAAAAAAGGCAGTCCAGTTCAATTTAGTTAGGACCACATATAGGGAAAAAAAAACAAATAAATAAATAGATTAATAAATAACTAAATAAATAAACGTATGCCAAATGTGGCGTTAGGCCCCTCCATTATAATACAAGCACATCGCCTTCAATCCACAAAGAGTAGAACCTTGCACATTTGCACTCTGTTCCATTTCCAACTTCCCTTTCCCTTTGCTATTCTCTTCAGAAATCTTAATAACCCCTTGAGCTGCATTCAGATAATACTCGGCCACCATAACCTTCTCTGGTTTTTCTTGCCTGCTATGATGTTACCGCATCAGAAAATGGCCAAGACCTTTCTGCTCCTGTGTTTTCTCTTCTTGGCTGCTTTTGGGTTTGTGTTTGGCTATGACAAGGAGGAGCGAGTTGGAGTATTTGAGCTCAAGAAAGGTGACATTTCCTTGAAGGTCTCCAACTGGGGTGCTTCAATAATTTCTCTGGTTCTTCCGATAAGAATGGTATAATGACATCACTCTACTTACTGTTATTCTTGTTCTGGATATTTCTCTGAATCTTGAATCGGTATGTGAATAATTTGGTTTGATCAGGAAAGATGGGCGATGTTGTTCTGGGATATGATTCAATCAAGGATTACTTTGTGAGTCCTCTGTACTCCTATTGAGTTGATAATAGTTAATTTTCCCAGATATCTGACAAATCTGCTTCTGCTTTGTTTTCTCAACTCGGCCTGGTTCATACTTCACACTACTTTCTCTCTCTATGGCGGAAGAACGAGACTTAGGACAAACATGTTACTGCTAAGATTAGATGACAATTTTGCCGTTCCCTGTTATATTTGTGTTTGTTTTTTCAAATGATTTGACTAGTATCACTCCCCACTTGCGTCCTAGGATCTGCATCTTCTCAATAATTTAATCTTAATTTCTTAGCAATATTAGAGTCGTGGATCCAGATGGGATATGAGGATAGCTTTGAAGTTTTATGGAAAATTGAATGTGAAAAGGATAGCTTTGACGTTTCGTCCTAATAAAAATAGTAGGGAGGGGAATAGATAAACCAGAGATGTTTAAATTAGCTTTGAACTTGGACGCTCGGAATTTGATAATTTTTTCAAAGCACGTGTCTAACTTGGAGGCTTCCGCTTTGACATGTCTGTTGACGTGACTTGCTTAACTAAAATTAAAGCAAGTGATGTTAAATTGTTTACTTTTCAGCGCGACTGGCTCGCTTTGAAGTTAGGAGAATTACGGTTGGATCCATAGTGCTGAATTCACGACAATTAAATCTTTAATAAAATTTATTAAAAAATAAATAAAAAATATCAATTTTGGTAATTATAAATTCCGTTTTAATTATAAATAAATATTTAAATTTAAAAATTAAATATAACTTTTAGATTATAACATAAGTGTCTGTTTGTAATTATTTAAATTGATATTTATAATTTATTTGTAAAAAATTTTGTTAGGAATCTAACCGTTATTAATTTATTTTTTTGAGATCTAATTGTTATTATCCATTAAATTTAAGGTGTACTTAAACTTTGATTACATTCAAAATACAATCCGGACTGATCATTGGATTTGGTTAAAAATTAATAGTTAATCGTAAATAAACAATGATCAAATTGATCATAAATAAATATTTTATTAAGCTAATTAAAATATTTAACAGTTTATCAGTTTAATCAGGGTGATATTGCCAGTCTATAATTACATTGCAACCAGGCATGGGTTGATTTACTTAATTAATTACGCAGTCATTTCCATCAAGGGGAGCTATATTTCACCACGAATAGGAACTGGGGAGGTAATAAGTAAGTATCTCAAAACTGTAGGCACGCCTCCTCAGGACCTTCAGGGGAATCATTCTTTGCAATGATGACAGTTTACTTCCCCACCCCCCACCCACTCCGGCAAATGGGAGTGATGTTTGTTCGAGTTTGTCAGCTTGATGTATTTTTTTTTTAGATCCTTTTTGAAGTAATAAATTATGTTATATGTAATTTAATTAAAATTTTCAATTTAAAATTTACCCAAAAAAATGTCAATTCAAATACCTTTTATAAATTTGAAAAAAAAAACTCAAAAATTGAAAAGGAGTTTTGAAGTCAAAATTTTAAAATAAAAGTAAAATGTACGAGTAATAAATAATAAGAAAAATTGTGGAAAAGGACCCAATAAGCAAATAAACTGAAGAAAAGGGCTAGATCTAAAATCTGTGATTTATTCAATTAATTTATTTAATAGGTTATTTCTGATATATGTTGGATATGACAAAGTTTTTCTTTTTCCTTTTTTTTTTTTTCTTTTTGGACAAATGGATATAACTCAGTTGTACATTGGCAGAATGATTCAACATACTTCGGTGCCACAGTTGGTCGTGTTGCTAATAGAATTGGAGGGGCTCAGTTCACTCTCAACGGAATCCATTACAAATTGGTTGCAAATGAAGGAAACAACACACTTCACGGTACACTTACATTATCCGATTATAGTTCCTCAACAAAACCCACACTTTCTACCTTAAAATTCCCTTACTCTGCCAGCCACATTGTTTGATTATTAGGTGGATCCAGAGGATTCAGTGATGTTGTTTGGAAGGTCAGAAGTTACCAAAAAGACGGTCACCATCCCCATATCATCTTCACTTACAGAAGCTTCGATGGTGAACAAGGTAAAGTAATAACAACATTCATAGTTCAAATTAACCTGTTCTAAATTCCTGAGAAGCTGTTAAATGGAACTAGCATGATGTGTTCTTCAGGTTTTCCCGGTGACCTCGTAGTCACAGTGAGTTACAATCTAGTTGGGAAAAACGAGTTGGCTGTAATCATGAAAGCAAAAGCTCTGAACAAGCCCACTCCTGTGAACTTAGCCAACCACGCATACTGGAACCTTGGTGGTCACAACAGTGGTAATATTCTGAGCGAGGTGGTTCAGATCTTCGGATCCAAGATCACGCCTGTTAATTCCCAACTCATTCCCACCGGAAAATTTCAATCAGTCAGAGGAACCCCATATGATTTCCTTAGACCCCATACTGTCGGAAGCAGAATCAAGCAGCTTCCTCGAACCAATGGCTATGACATCAACTACGCGCTTGATGGTGAATATGGAAAGAAATTGAAGCTTGCAGCAATAGTACAGGATCACAAGTCTGGCAGAGTTTTGGAGCTGTCAACGAATGCTCCTGGGTTGCAGTTTTATACTGGGAATTATGTGAAGGATGTGAAGGGCAAACGTGGGTGTGTGTATGAGCCTCATGCAGGGCTGTGTTTGGAGACTCAGGCCTTCCCTGACTCTGTGAATCATCCCAATTTCCCTTCAACCATTGTCACCCCAGAAAAGCCTTACAGACATTATATGCTCCTTAAGTTTTCCACGAAAGCTCCGTACGGTTCTGAGGGTTAAGGTTTTGTCTTTCCGTCTCTCTCGATGTACTTTACGTTGTTGTATTGTTCTCTCAGGCATTTCACTACCCCTGGGTTATGTCAAACTCTGGTTCAGCAAAATAAAGAGGGAAGAGAAAAGATAATAACAGGGACTTTGTTGTTGCTCTAGATTGGCATTAATTTGTTAATTAAGGGTTTTAATTAAAGAGGGTGTTTTATTTGTGGCCACAATAAAAAGACACAGTCGGTGGCATATTGGGTAGTAAACATACATTTTTAACAACAAATTCACTTATTCCCTAACAATTATTGCCTGGCTTTAGATTGTGTGCACAGTGATTTATATATGATCTTCACATGCCAATCACCAAGCACAATGTGCCATAAAGAACTCGTTCATTTGAGTGCAGTTTAAGGAAATTATTTTATTTAACCAGGGCTTAATTAAAGAGAGTCAGATTGTATGATGATCTTGGCAATTGATTCCGAATTAGATTTGAGGGCAAAAGGCTGGCTGGCTGGCTGGCTGACAAATGCACATGCATTATATATCCAGCCTACATCATGATGGCACTTGTGCAATCATTCAGCAATACGGCCTTCGAAACTGTCTTCTTAAATAAAGAAATGGAGGCACTTGTGCAATCATAGGTTTTGTCCTCACGCAATTGTTTGCGATTGGTTAAAGAACATGCCTTATGCCCAATTATTGTGAATTAAAAATTACTGGGCTAGAGATGATCACGGGAAGGCACATCCTGCAGAATTTTTGTCCTCGATATGGTCCTCGTCAAGGGGCTAAAATTAACTTTTTCGTCCCTTTGAGTTAATCTACGGTTCTATTCCTGTGTTTTATAATTTTTTTTTTTGCCCTTAAAAGACTCTTTTTGTTCTCTTTCCCAAAAGCTCACAATCTAGGACTCAGATTCTTATTTAACAAGTTAACATTTCTTTACACATATATGAGAGATGATGAGGAATCGACAAATAAAAAGGACTTCCTTGTTAAAATTTTACATGCAAACATACAACAATGATAAAGACTGGAAAAACCTGAAAAATTATTATTTTTCCTGTAGGAGGATTTGCGGCAGGAAGCTTCTAAGTTTTGGCTTGCTGAGAAAATTCCAGAGCTGCGTCGAATATTGTCTCGAAAGCACATTTGATGCGGGAATTCAGTTTGTGTTCGTCAATGAAATATTTTTCTGCCTTGAGTGTCACTCTTAGCACTCCCATGTAGCTCATTACTGATATCACAAGGCTCTGTCACCCATCAAAATTTAAATGGCGGTCAGCAATATAATGCCAAACTAAATAATGTAATACCACAGAAATCAACAAGAAAAATAAAATACCTCAGGACCTCCAGCAAGGGTGAAATACAAGCCTTTCACAGGATGGTTAGCCAAAGACATTGGTTGCGTCGGTCCAATCAAGTTTGTGATTACCGTACTTGATTTTGACAGCGTCCCATGAATGTGCTTAGCCACTGCCTGCAACCACAACAATATTCCACACAAATCATATTTAACACTTTAAACAAATCCCGTTTTTGAGAAAATTTAAAAGGGATGTTTTGTGATATTATTTTATGCTACACACACACCCCCCCTACCTCATGTCCTCTGAATTTACCCTCCATCTCTAGAAGAATACCGGTGATGGGGACAGCTAAAGATTTTTTTCTTCCTCTTGATTATATTGTGTGCTTCCCAGATAAATTCTAGTGGATTTGAAATCCTGTCATGTTCTAACTTTGGAATCGGCACATGTAAGAAGGAAATTCGATTCCCCCATGGTCCTTTAGCCTTAGAATTCAACATTTCATCGATGGATTGATAACCTTCGGTGTTCCTCGTTTTTAGCAGAACCAACGCCGTGGAGTTTGCAGAGCTTGACTTCTTATTTATGTCTTGCATGTACAATCGAGTCCCATAAAAGATAATCCCAGTGATCACATCATTTATTGTCTGTACTTAAATGGGCCAAAAAAAAAAAAAAGAATACAAGAGTAGGTCACCTACTATATATATTTGCGAGTTGTTTTGAGAAGTCAAAAGTCAAAACTATAAAATGAATTTTCAACCAACCATAGAAAATGAGAGCTGAGTTGTTATTAATTACCACTCCAAGCCTTGATTTGATTAATTTGATTTGGTCAATGGAAAAGGTCATGGTTGATATGGTGAGTGGGCGCACTTCTGTACCTTCAAAACCTGACCTGATTGGTGTCTTATCATCTTCAATGATGGTACTCTTCAACATGCTCCAGTAGAAATCTACCACAGTATTGTAAGCTGAGGACATGACCAAAGAAAACGTACTAAAAAAGTTTTTGTTGGCAGATTTTGATGGTTTGAGGGAAGGGAAAGACAAAGGAAGAGAGGGATCGTCGGCTCTTTGAAGACAAGAGAGAAGAGCACCCATGAGAGAGTATCCATCTCCAAGGGCATGATGGAGTTTGAATATGAGGCTACTTGCTGCACCGCTTGTAGGGTAATTCACGACGTGAATTTCCCATAATGGTCTGTTTTCCGGAAGCTTCTCTATTGCTATTCTCGACAGATAATCAGTGAAATACTTATCATATGGTTTCATTGAATTGAATTCAGGAAATAAGGGAATGTTGACATGATCTTTCAAGTTTACATCAACTTTCTTCCATCGTTTGTCCCCACTGCTGTCTTCAACCTGCTCTCAAAGAATATCATTGCCTGTAAATTATATGTTACGTACACTAAAAATGAAATGCAAACAAATTCTGAAAGTTGTAATACGGTTGGTGATTTAAGTGAAGAACCTAAAGATACATATAAGTAGTGATGCAACTCTTAGATGCTTTCGCTCTCCAGTACATGTCAGGCTACTATATCTATCTGACATTTTTATAGTTATATTTGTGATGATAGTCTCTGTTGGACAGCAAATGTAGTGGCACAATTCTTCAGTTTCTTATGTTTATGTATCACATGAAGCGCAATTTTGTGAAACTAAAAAAAAATGAAGAATAATGTAACTTAGATATAAATGTAGAAATAAGAGAGAGAGAAGCAAAGGAAGGAGAAGGAGGGTGACCATGATGGAGGAGAAACGAGGGTTGATGGGAAGGAAGAGACGTTGGAGGAGAGGAATTGCTTGCGATTCATCCAAAGGAACTTGGAACTCTAAAACGCCAATAATGTAAATGCAAAGCGCTGAGCTGTTGAAGTATTGTCCCACAGGACTCACCGGTACCGCTTCTTCGTCGTTGTCTTCTTCTTGGTGCTGATTCGTCATCCTCCACTGTTGATCAGCCATATTAGGGATCACTATTATATTGCGGGGCTGCAAAAGCAATCAGAAACAGAAAGCATGGGAATGTGAGGAGAGGCTGGCATAGTTATATAAGTAAAGGGAGAGGAAGAGGCGTACAATAGACGTGGTGGCAGACAACCTATATGGGAACTAAATGGTTTCTGGTTCATCCGTAATTCTCCAAAACTTAAGCTTATAGCTTTCAAATGGAATCACTAATCTAAATTGATGAAGCCAAGACATGGCAGGAGCCACAGAGTTCATTGTCGTTCGATTATTTAGATCTAATTTTTATAGCCTAAGTTTACAGTTTTTCAACTGACGTTTTTTGAATTAAAAAATAATTTTTTTAAAAAAAATTGACAGTTAAAAGATTGCCATTAGTTTATATTCTATATTTATTAAAATAATTTTTTTAAAAAATAAAAGTAAAAAATTATAAATTTGAACCGTTCAAATTAAATTTGAATAGTTTAGAGGCAATGAACTTTTAGAGTGTTTTTGGTTGAAAGTTTTTGAAGAAAAAAAAAGAAAAATTACCCCTCTCTTTCCCTTGTTTAGCTAGTAATTAGTAAAGGAAGGAAAAGGAAACACCTTATTTAATTAAAAAAATTAAAGGACAGAGGAGGGGAGCAACTCCCTTCTTAACCCTCCCTTTCAATTTGGAGTTTTTTGGAGGGGAGGGGAGGGAGAAAATAATTAAAACAACTGATACATTTATTTTAAAAATTTTAAATTATTTTTGATATTAAAAGATTATGTATTATCTCTCTCTTTTTTATAATAAAATAAATTTTATCACCCTACAAAAATTAATATATAATTTTTTAATGTATAAAATTTTAATATTTTTTATTAGACTCACTGATAAAATATAATTTGTTCTTCAAATTTTTTTTATTAATATAAGTTCATATTCCTAAAATAAAAATTAATAAATTTTGATATAACAATTTTTTTTCAAAAAAATAAAAATTTAAGTTAAATTTGATAAAAAAATTATTAACTTATTTTTAATTTGCCTCCCTTCTCCTCCCATCATAAACCAAACAAAAGTTTATTAAACTGCTCCCCTCCCCTCCCCTCCCCTTCTCTCCCTTCCCTCCCCTCGAACTAGAGTGTTTATTTTTATGATGAGTACTTAAATTGATTCTAGGCATGGCAATAACTTTTTCTATGGATCACACTACCCCAATTATTTAGTAATTTACTTTTGGATAAATAGATTTGAATTTAAATTTTAGATTTAATACATTTAGAATTCATATATTAAAAGTCTTTTGTTTGTTTGGATATTTTTAAAAAATTTCAAATGGAGAGCAAAGTTGAGTTGAAATTCAAAAGAAAAACAAAAAATTGAAAGTGATGAGTTTACTTATATTTTTTAATTGACGAGAGATAAAAGATTAATAATTAAACAGGAAGAGAATATGGTGTTTAAATTGATTATAATTTCAAATGATTAGGATATAAGAGGAATTTAAAATTACAAAGGAAATGTAATGAAAGATGCAAGGGATTTGGTTCAATTCAAATCTAAATCTAAATCTACATTAATCCAATCACACCATAAGAGTATTTGGAAAGTTAAATATTGTCACTTTTTTTTAGTACTTCATCAATCTCAAATTATAAGATATTTTTAGACAAAATTATATATATCAATAAAGCTCATTAAATATACTTTATAACTTTTTTTTTCAAAATAAGAAATATTATAAAATTTTAGAAATATCATTCATTTATGAAAGAGTATTAAAGGGAGAGAATATAATAGAAAGGGTAATATTGAAAAAACATTATTAATGAAATTTTATTTTTGTCAAATTATTTTATATTTTGGACATCATATCTCTTTAAAAATATCTTATAACTTGGGATAGATAGAGTATTATAGAGCATTTTTAATTAACAAGCTCATGTAAATTAATGCAATTAGTTAATGGTATTAAAATATATTTTGATTCTTTTTAAATACATATACCTTTCGTTAAATATATTTGACTCTCTACAATGAGCCAAAATATATGGGGTCAAGTGCAGTTTTTATTTGTCAATAGTATTTTAAAGAAACATTAATTACTCTTGTAAATATTTTGCAAAATGCCTTCTAAGGACTCCCTCCAATCGTTGTTATAGTAAACCTTTTAAAATATTTTTTTATCCTTAATATAAATTACAATATAAGGTACTAATTAATTTTTTAATATTATTTAAACTATGAGAAAGATAATTGAATTGCAAATATAAGATTTTTTTTTTCATTTAAATAGGTGTCTTATCCTTAAAGCACTCGAGAATGACTATTTCCATTTTCCAGCATTTATGAAATGAAATTGAAAAACAAAAGTAATATTTTTTATACTATTTTAATCACTTGCTTAATAAAAAAGAGTTATTTGCTATTTTAAAATTGTCATTTACTTTCAAGATTCAATATTTACAAAATTGATAAAAAGAAAATAATTATTTCCTATATTATTTCAATCACTCGTTTAATGAAAGTAGTTATTTATTACTTTGAAATTGTCAATTCATCTTTAAGGGTACTATGATCATTTCATAGAAATTTTATTATAATGTCAGATAATGAAGTTCCAATAAGCTTCAAAATAGTAAGCCTAGAATACATATGACTTTCCTAAACCTTAGGTTAATTGTATATAACCTCTCTAATCTCAAGAACTTGATAAAAAATTCTCTTAAACCTTTTACCTTTGAACACATAAAATTACCTTCCCTGAGTAACTCTGTTAAATCATCAACAGAAAAAAAAAAAAATGATTCATCAGATTTCACTTAATATATGTGGCAACTTACATAGCTTTATTGATACTTAAATTATTTTCTTTTAAGACCAAAACGCAGATCATGGCGTAAAATAAGGAGTGAAATGTCATTTTCCTATTAAAATTAAACATCATCTCAACAAGGCAGACTCCCATGACCCATCCATATTCGTTGCTTTGGTAGGTGTGGTGTGTGGATATGGCAATGACGATCTTCGGGGCACGGCCTGACGCACAGGGACTTGAAGCCGTATTCCGTACGCGTTTTTCAAAACATAATAATTAATATCCTAGAAAAAGTAAAAGATGCACTTATCAAATTGTCATCTTTTATATGTACCTTAAAAGAATATTAAATATATAAGATAAGCCATATCAGATAACCCCGTGATCTCATTAAAATCTTCGGAGATTCAAAACATAATCTGAGAGATATTATCCAACTGAAATCTCAAGCAAATTTCCTGAATGCAGGCACAAAGAATAATGGAAAAAGAAAGTCACTGAGAGAAAACTGCGTCCAGGGCCACCCTCCATGCACGCTGAAGCATCTGTAGGACGTCGTGAAGCAATTCATTGTCCGGATGCGTCACCAGAGAAAACTCCTAAACGACAACGAAACTCCTCACCCTCGCGTACGGCACCTTCAATAGAACAAGTTTGCCGCATTTTCCAACGGATCCAAGAAGGAATTGCCCAACAAAATGATACTTAAATTTAAATCAGTGCATCATAACATTCAATACTGTACTCCCTTCATTTAATAATATAAAATATTTTTTTAAAATGTTAAATATTAAAAAATATAAAGTATTTTTAATGTTTTAAAGTATAATTAATGTACTTTTTAAAAAAGTGTCCATAATAAATAAATAAATTTATATTTATTTTAAAATATGGCACTCTATTAAATAAGAGTAATTATAAAAAATTAGTATTAATTTAAAAATAATTAATTACTTTATTAAGGGAAAATTTGATTAAATTTTTTTAAATTTTTTAATAGTATCACTCCTTCCGTCTTCAAATAACCAAATTTATACAGTTTAAGAAAATTAGTTAAGTTGAATAATTGTAAATTACGTATGAAGTTAAGTAATTTGGACTAAATTATCCTTATAACTAATGAAATAAGTTTTCTAATGAAAATAAACATTGACTTTATGAGGGGCAAATTAGAAAAAAATGTGATAAATATTTCTTGATATTTATAATTTTGTTTATAAATAATTAAAAAAAAGATATACGGTGGTTCTCTTAAATTTAAAAATAGAGGGAGTATACTGATCAAAACTCGGATATAACACGATTGAACGAGCATGGTAACTCAAGTGATGAAGTTGACCAGCAAGATCATACGTCGGCAACGGTGAACCTTGATAGTATTATAGGCGAAGGAGAACGAGGTCCGGCAATGATAGTTAGCCGCAATTTTTGTGAAAATATTACTGCATCACAATCAAATGGATCAGAAGGAAGATCGACACTGAAATCTCAGTCCTTCCAAACCAAGGATAACGTGATGAAAAATCTGCATGGCAAGAATAATGGTAGGGATAGCATCAAGGGAACACGTGGCAAGGATATCTGGCGGGTGAAGGACGGGGATAGAGTTGGTGTTATGAGCCATGATACACGTGGATTCGGGAAAGATATTCAAAATAAAAAATATGATTAGGTGTTAGTTGGAGAGAAAAGGAAAAGCTCCTCTAAGCCCAAAACTCGAGGGAAAGAGAACAAATTGCTCGTTGGAGTAAGGCCTAATAGATTGGTCACTAGGGATCAATTTGTTAACCTGCTTTTAACTCTAAACTACTTCAAAGCTCTAAACGACCTGTCTTCTTCTACAATTAATGCAAACTTGGGTAGTAATTATGTCAAAGGAGGGGAAGACAGTTACACTATTGACTCGATGCTGGTGGAGGAGAATACGGTTACTGTTCATAAGGCTGATACAGAATGTGTTGCTCACATATCCTAGGAAACTAAAGATAATACAAGGACTACGGATCAACAACCTTCCAACATGGAGGCTGTGACTCGTGATGAAGACAGCGGTATAATGGTGGGTTTGAGAGAGGCTAACTCCCATAATGACTCGACCAGGTCTTGATGATAATACAAATTTGGAATTCCAGAGGTACCGGGAGCAAAAGCTTCAAACCTTTGGTTTATGAAATGAAGCATCATTATAAGATTGACTTTCTAGCGATCTTGGAAACTCATTGCAATACCAAAGGAGTATAAAAGAAGATTGCTTCATTGGGCTTCTAGTTTAACATGACTGTCGATACGGATGGCTATAGGTGTTATTTGGTGCTTATGGAATGATAAAGGGTGGAAGA